CTTTTTCCAGATGGGGAGATATTTCATATACCTCTGAGGGTTTTTGGGTGTGTTTCCTTTGTTCACATTCTTGGCCCTCATCGCAAGAAATTAGATCCTAAGGCCAAGAAATGTGCTTTTCTTGGGTATGCTCAGAACCAAAAGGGGTATTGCTGTTATGACCCAGTGTCGAGGAGTAGATTTGTCACAATGGATGTTACCTTCTTTAAATCCACCTTCTTCTTCTTGAGCGGTTCTCCTCAAGGGGAGAGTTTTGGGGAGAACTCACAATTTGTTCCTCTTCCTATTTCTTTGGTGCCTTCATTAGTTCAGCCAGCACCTCCATCAGTTCAGCCAACATCCGCACTTCTAGTTTCATTACCTGAGCCACTACGGGCAGCCTCATAGAAATATCAACACCGGCAGATGATGGTTGACTCAACACATCCTCAACCCACACCACTCTCTATCAGTCCTTCTGAAACTCCAGATTCGGCAAATACAGTTCCAGGTATTCCTCTTGAGCTTGAGTCTGTTATGTTTTCTGATGATAATGTTCTAGTCCCTAACACCATTGTTGCAGCTAATCCCACTGACCTTGATCTTCCCATTGGACTTCGTAAGGGGAAGAGAAAGTGTATAGCCCATTGCATTTCACACCATCTTTCCTATAATGCCTTATCACCCTCCTACTATGCTTTTCTCTTTTCCCTGGATTCTGTGTCTATACCCAGGAATGTTACTGAGGCTCCAAACTTGAGTGGAAAACAGCCATGCAAGATGAGATGGATGCTTTGGTTAAAAACCAAACTTGGGAAATAGTTGATCTCCCCCCAGACAAGGAGACAATCGAATGTAGATGGGTATTCACAATGAAGTATAGGGCTGATGGCAAGATAGAGAGATACAAGGCAAGGTTGGTAGCAAAAGAATATAATCAGACCTGTGGTATTGATTATCTGGAAACCTTTGCACTAGTAGCTAAGATGAGTTCAGTTCGTATCCTTTTATCTCTAGCAGCCACCTATTCATGGCCTTTGTTCCAGCTTGATGTCAAAAATGCCTTCCTCAATGGTAATTTACAGGGAAAGGTATATATGGACATTCCAACAGGCTTTTATGAGAATGTTGGTAAGGGAAAGGTGTGCAGACTCAGAAAATCTCTATATGGACTGAAACAGTCACCTAGGGTTTGGTTTGACAGRTTCAGAGGAGCACTCATCCGTTTTGGATACACACAGACACAGTCTGATCACTCTCTTTGTGAAGAAGAGAGATGCTCTGTTGTCAATTTTGGTTGTGCATGTGGATGATATAGTGGTGATAGGAAATAATCTGAAGGAGATTGATGATTTCAAAAAATCATTGTAGCAAGAATTTGAGATCAAAGATCTTGGTGAGCTCAAATACTTCTTGAGGAATGAAGTTGCAAGATCCAAGCATGGGATCTTCATTTCATAGAGAAAGTATGTACTTGACCTATTGTGGGAGACTGGGAAGCTAGGGACCAAACCAGTAGACACTCCTATTGATCCAAATCACAGAATTAATGGTGTGGACGATGAGTTGGTAAAGGATGTGGGGAGATGTCAAAGAATGGTGGGCCGACTGTTGTATTTGTGTATGACATGACCAAATATTTCTTATGCTGTTAGTGTTGAGTCARTACATGCATGCACCTCGGGTTCAGCATTGGGAAGTTATTGAGAGGATACTTCCATATCTAAAAAAGCACCCTGGCAGAGGCATTCTTCTCTCAAATCATGAGAATCTGAAGCTAGAGTCCTATACAGATGCAGACTGGGCAGGATGCTTAGATGACAGGAGGTCTACATCAGGAGTGTGTTCCTTTGTAGGTGGAAACTTGATCTCCTGAAAGAGTAAGAAGCAAGCGGTTGTGACAAGGTCAAGTGTAGAGACCGAGTATAGATCCATGGCTCATGGTGTCTCAGAACTTCTTTGGGTTAGATCTCTTTTGAGYGAGATTGGGGTGAAAGCAGAGGAACCTATGATGTTATATTGTGACAATCAAGCTGCAATCAATATTGCCCACAATCCAATTCAGCATGATAGGACAAAACACATTGAAGTTGATAGACACTTTATAAGAGAAAGGGTAACAACCGGAGAAGTCTGTTTGCCTTATGTCTTTTCAGAGTTGCAGCTGACTGATGTTCTCACTAAAGGGGTGGCAAAGAACAAGCTTGAACATGATCTATGCAAGTTGGGAATGTGTGACATTTACTCCCAACTTGAGGGGGAGTGTTGAAGATTAATCAGTTTTATGATGTTTTTTATGAGTAGATGTTTTATGTTAGTTGTTAGATAGGAAGTGGGGACCATAGTAGTTACGTGAGTCCAAATTTTATTATGTTTTTGTCTTATATATGCTGTTTTATGTCTTGCCGCCCTACAAGGGCATAGTTGTCTTTGTACTACTCTATTATTTTTAGTATAAATAATAAGTGAAGGGGGGGCGGCCAGATTATTGCTCTCCTTTCTTTTCATCTTCTCTTCTTCTCTTCTTCTCCTTCTCTCTTCCTTCTTTTTTCAAGAAACTCTTTTTATTTCATATTTTTTTAATTCAGCAAGCTTTCTACTCAAATAAATAATTTCTTTAAGTATAGCACAGCTTCTGAGAAATGTGATATACTTGGTTGAAAAAGGCTGCATTTGGCATTCCTTATTTTAAGTACTTATCTCCTTTTTGCAACTCATTGTTTATAAGGGCATTTGAACTGCAAAAGGGAGATAAATCCTTCAAATAAGGTATACCAAATGTAGGCCAAGTCATTTTCTCCTGAAATAGCACTTTAGAGTCGTTGTGTTCTTCGTGAATGTACTCTTGGGGTATGATATGCCCCCACACCAAACCTTCTGTTGCTTTTTTATATGTTACTTTTAGTTTTGCGTCTTTGACTATTTCAGACTACGGAATGGAGGGTAAGGTTTGGTTCACCCATTATGTGTATTTAATTAAATACATTTTAGAGTGAGTGTCCCTCTCCACCTAGAGTAAAGTCTCGGGCTATAAGAAATATTTGCTTGTATTCAATAAGGAAATATATGCTGATGTACAAAAGGTGGAATCCCATTCTAGAAGAATGTGATATAGAAAATAAATAAAAAGCTATGATCTAACAGTTTTAGGGAGTTGTATTGTGTCAGACACTTCAATTCTTAATGTCAATTCCGCATCTGACACCTTGTCCTTCTGTTTCCTTCTGTTAAAAGTAGTAACCATGGTTCAAAGTATCAATACTCTCAATATGCAAAGTATGGATATTGAGAGTTTGTACTGACTGAAGACCAGAACTGAAACCCTACTGTTATATCTAACACATACTATATATAAAAGTTAAATGGCACCATATAGCATGAAAAAATAAATGAGAGAGCCTAATTAGGAAATTATAGTTGAAATTTTACATTTTGTTTTGATATAATTAATCAGATCTCTAGAAGGAACTTTGATCATGATAAATGCTATTGCACTAAGGTGAAACTAAAGTAATTTATCACATAAGTAAGAGATCCTAATTAGGGAGTTTAAGTTGAAATTACTTTCTATTTTTATGTAATTGTTCACTTTTAATTAAGATCTCTATGAGGATATTTGATCATGATAAAAGCCACCAAGATGATAGCTTGAGTAATTTACTAGATGGGAATGCTATACCTTCAGTTTTTCTCTCTTCTGACTTCTGAAACACAGCACCACCACCTGCCATATCCATAAAACCTTATAGCTTCAGTAATCCCTTAATGGAATTTCCATATAATCCACAGAAGAAACATGAAAATATGAACTTTAAGAACCTGATGCATCTGTTCTTCCCACAGTCAAGCTGGATATGATTCCGAGCCTTACTGAATTCAGATGACCATTTTCTCCTTGTTTTTCATCAACAGGAGTGTCCTGGGGAGTGGGTTCAGGCTCTATTTCTTCTGCAATTATGGTAGGAGTCTCTTGCAACAGCCGCAACCTTTCAGATGGGGTCTGAAGAAGTTTTCTTCTCTCCAAGTATTCAAATAGTGTAAAACTCCAAACATGTCAAGGGCAACATAACTAATGCAGGAGCAGGAAGTGTATTTTTGGAAACAGGGTTGCTTTCGTCATTTTACAAATTTATGTTGGACAGAGACTTTAGAGGTTGCCCTGTATTATTATAGGCTGTGTTTAAACTTTTGTAGTTAGGGTAGACAATGGCAAAAAATAATTTTCTGTTTTCTTACTTTTAGAATTAGTTACTGATTTCTGTTTTTTAAACTATATCTGGGGTTATTACTTCAGCCTAGACCTGTTCACAGGACGGGCCGGGCTTTGTCTCTGTATTAACAGAATACATTCAGGCCCAAGCCCGAGCCCAGACAGAAATTTTGAAAAAGATTCTTTTTCTTTTCTTATTCAATAAAAAACTGTTTTATTTATATTAAAAGACCTCAAAACTCAAAAATAATGAAAGATCTCACTATTACTTGAAAAAAGAGAAGATGAACAAAGATCAAACATATTATATATATTCCTATTATATAAAATATATTTTTATTATATAAGATATAATCAAGTCGGGCTCGGGCTTTTTTGAGAAAGCCCAAGCCTGGGCTGAAAAAAACTCGTGAAAAATCAGAGTTGTGATTTTTGAATTTTCTAAAAACCTATGGATATAAACAAGCAAGATGGCTGGTGGATTTTAATCTGTATCACATTTTTAGAGTTCTAGAATCAAACAAGAAGTTATTCTGAGCATGTGGAGCAATTACAAGTAGGACAGGAACAAGAAAGTCTTACTGGGGTGAATGTGATGAGAAACAGAGGGAGAACTAAAGAAATTGAATCATAAAGGAAACAGGTTCTGATCTAAATAGAAAAGAAAGAGAAGAAAACATCTGGTTTTCACATTTAGGAGAAATAGAAAAAAGGAGAGAGACAGAAGAAGAAGATAACATGCTACTACCCATAGGTAACTTTAAAATAAACTTTTATTCCATCCATTCAACTCTCGAGTTTCAATTACAATGATTACAACTACAAAGCTAAGGCAACCCAATAAGAAACCCATAGGGATACTCAAATAATGACTCTAAATCATCATCATCTAAACCTTATCCCAACTATAAGTTCAAGTATCCAACACAATATGACACCCTTGGTATCAATGTATCAATGCACCCTAATTGGCCTGATTAGGAGGAATCATTTACAAATAAAAATCCATTAAAAAAAATCATCCAACACCAAGGTCTCATAAATTTTTAAAAAATCTATTTACTTGGGTAAGTTCACCTGCCCAGGTAAGTGTTACCTAGGAAGCACTTACCCATGTAAGTGAAATTATCTGTATTCTTCTGATTCTTAGGTAAATTATACAATGATTCTTTTATACATAAAAATTCATTGTTTCAATGGGAAAAATTGTCCCAACACGTTTTTTTTTTTTTCAATTTTCCCCTACCAGGTAAGTGATACCTAGGGAAAATGATTTTTCCATGGGTCTTTCATGAACATGTGAAAAGCGGTCAATGGGAACCACAATCCCATTGACCGACTTCCCCCCTTCAGAATCTGAAAAACAAATGGGACCCAAATTCTGAGTATACTTATTTTATTTATTCCTCAAGAATAAGATTCCTACTTCGCTAAATATATCGTGTCATATTTTCCTACAAAAAAGAAACTTGCAATTGTTTCATACTTCTTGCTCTAAATTACAGAAATTATATAAATTATTAAAGGATATTCTCTGCGCCAGCCTTTCTCATTTGCACGATCAATGAGGTGTTTTAATCGGCAAAGCTCTCTTTCGATTGACTGCAAACAATTTGTTTGAATATTTTTTCACAAGAACCAGAAGAAAAAAAAAATAATGAACTATAATGCAAGGAATAATAACAATCTAATAGTGAGTACTCCACACAACAATTGCCATCGGAAAATAGAACACAAAATACAAATGTCACATATAGAACTAAAGTACCTCATAAAGTGACCTCAGATCAGGAAATAAATTGAACTGATCAGAATACAAGGTTTTATATACTTCTACCTCCAACAGGTTCAGTAAGCTATTTACCTTTGAAAAGTAATGTATACTAGTGTGTGAAAGACAACAGAATATAATATTAAGAAAGAAAGTTTAGCATAGTCTCTTCTTTATTATACAGATCCAGTGTATCTAGAAACTGCACAATTAACATCACCAAGGTTCAAAGGGGTGAAGTCATTTGGAACCCAACTTTTAGAAATTCTTTGCCTGAAAGGCAATTTGATTATAAAGTGCTGCATATAGGATGAAAAATTAATTCAATGATAAAAAAAAATTGAATTTTCAATTCGTTCAACAAGATTAGGAATAATTGAACTCACATTCGCGTGGAAGAAATTTCCTGGTTGGTGGCCATTGAAAGGGCTCTATCTCAAGATCAGCTGAAAAATGGGAAATTGGGAACTTCAATCTAACAAACAAATATTGTCTGAAAGTGAAGGAGATTGAAGATCACCTACTTTTGTAATGTAGACTCTCTAAGAAGATTTAGGGTGGCAACTATATTCCAGGACTGGAGTGGCCCAGGGTGCATTAACAAACTTCTACAATGATGCTGATTCATTCAGAACAAAAAGAATCAACCTTATAGAGGATAATCCCATTTACTTTGTAGGTCATTTGGAATGTAACAGAAGAATTGTTTGGAACATCACTAGGCCACTGTTTGAATTTGTAAGGATATCAGTCCATTCATTATGAATTGGAGGAACTAGTGACACATTAAAATACTTTTATCTTTTTTCACCTACTTGAGGAGTGCAAGTCAATTTATAGAGATGTAAATAAGCTGACCATTTATTAAATACATGGTTTGTAATACTTGAACCAATCAATCTAATAAAACAACAAAAAAAAAAGAAAAACAGCAAGAAATTGTAGAGAAGAGGAAGGAGAGAATAGAGTATTCAAGAGAGAGAGTGAAGAGCAGTAATAGTTTTAGTTGCTATCACTGAACATTATACTCCTACCCACCCAATAATGAAAAGAAAAAAAGAACAAGAATAAAGCTGTATACTGCTATCACTGATAAAATAAACAAACAGCTAAATATTCTCAACACTCCCCCTCGAGTTAGAAATATATATTTATCATTCCTAACTTGCTTAGATCATTTTCCATCTTGTTCTTAGCAACTCTTATTAGTAAAAATGTCTGCCAACTACATGCTAGATGTAACATAAGGCACGCAAACTTCTCCTGTAGACACATGATGTAATAGTTAAATAATAACATTTTGAAAAATGGAAAGAAATACAAAAAAATAATTACAGTAAACAATGTTGAGTGTGATAATCAGGAATTATTTTTATTAATGAAGAAAATGAAATAAAAAGTTTTAAATTGATACAGAAATGAAACTGCTTTCTTGTCCAGGTGGTTGGTTAAGGCTTTCCTGTGGTTTAACCTTTCAAGTCAAATGGGGCAATAAATGATGCCATAATAAAATAATAAGTTTTAAAAAAGATTTATGGACAGTTTATTAAATTTGTAGGAAACATTTGGACACATCTCTAATTTTATATATTCATCTTACTAAATAGAAATAAGTCCAATAAACAAGAATTCCTTTTATGAATGATGGAAATGAAATATAAAATTTAAAACCAACTAGAAGTAAAACCATATACCTATCTAAGTGGTGGAATAGTGGTAAAACCTTTTGGTTTAAACAGGTTAATCCATGATGTCTTAATTAAATAAAAATATTAAAAAGACACAAAATACCATGATAAATAACAATTATTTTTTATTTATGATGGAAATGGAATACAAAATTGAAGCCCAACAAATCCACTAGTAGGCCATGCTTCAACTACTTGGCCTTATTTCTTCGTGTGGTTGCACAATGTGTAACCCACTTCAATTACTTGTCTTTGTTATGGATTTTGATAAGAAAACTGAAATTGTTGTTGTTATTATTATTTGAAATTACCATGTACAATGCACATACACATTTACTAGTCTTTTCCTAAAAGAACAAATAGGGATTTAGTGATTGGATGATTAGCTTGCAATTCTGATATGATTCACTAAGTTACTATAATTCCAAAAGAAGAAAAAAGAAAGAAAGAAAAAAGGCACACAATTACAAAAGAGGATTCTCACTTGATCAATATGTAAAATAACAAAGTAGACAAAAACAAAAATAGATAGTATATGGCATTCATAAAGGGGGAGAAGATGGGCACAAGACAAAATGGAAAATAGAGAGAATGATGCCTATTTAGTCTCTTAATCTTCTCCAAGGATTTAAATATTGATATGATATGATTCACACGCTACGAATAGAAGCATATCCCATAAACAATAACTCCTTTCGGAAATCTTAAAGCTTGGGGGAGAGAAGAATTTAAAGCTGTTGAAGAAGAGAAGAAAAGAATCCTTTCGGAACTAGAGGATTTGGATAGTAGAGAGCAAAATGGGACCCTTAATGCCTTAAACAAAAAAAGAAGAGAAGATTTAAAAAAGGAATGCGAACAACTAGTTAGAAGGGAAGAAATTTATTGGAGACAAAGATCAAGAGTGAGATGGTTAAAAGAAGGGGACAATAACTCCAGATTTTTTCACACCTATGCCTCAGGAAGGAGTAGGAAGAATTGTATCTCTAAGATAAATCTGAACCAGAGGGAAGTGGAGAATACTGAGGAAATTTCAGAAGCTTTCCTTTCCTTTTTTAAAACCTCTACTCCAAGGATAGTGAAAACCAATTTACATTAAACAATTGGGAAGGCAACCCTATCAGCTGAAAAGAGGGACTAGTTGGAAAGAAGCTTTGATGAGGAAGTTAAAAAGACTATCTTCAGCATGGATGGAGATAGGACTCCAGGGCCGGATGGCTTCCCTATTCTTTTCTTGCAAAAGTGTTGGGAAATTGTAAAGACAGATCTTATAGATTTTTTCAGGGATTTCCACTCCTCTGCCATTGTTAACAAAGGTCTAAACTCTACCTTTCTCTGCCTCATCCCAAAGAAAGGGGGAGTTTTGGAAGTTAAAGATTTTAGACCTATTATTTTGATTGGGAGCATATATAAAATTTTGGCAAAGGTACTGGTCAACAGACTTAAAGAAGTCCTTGAAGATCTAATTTCCTCAAATCAGTTTGCTTTTGTGAAAGGAAGACAAATTGTAGACAGCATTCTTATTGCAAATGAGTGTGTGGAAGACAAAAAATCATCTGGGATCCTGGGGGTCCTTGTGAAACTTGATCTGGAAAAGGCATACAATAAAGTGGATTGGGACTGTATTCTTGATTGCTTAAGGCTAAGAGGTCTTGGTAGAAAATGAATCAGGTGGATTAAAGGATGTATTGGCTCTCCTTGGTTTTCAATATTGATAAATGGTGAAGCGAAAGGTTATTTCAAGGCTAGTAGGGGTCTAAGACATGGTTGCCCTCTTTCCCCCTTATTATTCACTTTGGTGATAGATATATTTAACTATCTGTTTGACAAGTCCATTCTTCTCAACTTGGTGAAAGGATTTGAAGTGGGTAGGAATAAGATTCACATCTCTCACCTACAATTCGCTGATGACAATATCCTGTTCTTGGATGCCTCCACAACCAACATCACAAACACTAAAATGGTAATCAAATGTTTTGAGCTCATCGTTGGATTAAGGGTTAATTTCTGCAAAAGTAGTATTGTAGCTATTAATTCAGTGGAAGTGGAACTTCTAGAAGATTCAAATCTTTGTTGGGGTGCAAAGAGGAGTACCTCCCCATTTCCTACCTTGGGATGCCTCTTGGGGGGAATCCAAAATCCCTTAATTTTTGGAGACCTATGGTGGAGAAATGTGAGAAGCAGCTTTCGACTAGGAAAAAGTGTTATCTCTCAAAAGGAGGTAGGCTTACACTTTTTTTTTTATCAGAAACGATAACTTTCATTAGAGAGATAAATTAAACTGAAATACAGAAGTCGACTCTTATTAGAAAAGGTTGATCCAATAAACATCAAACATTACAGCATTGCCCAATAAAGACTCTCCCTTACAGTCCCTTGTTTTGCTAGGGCGTCAGCAAAACTACTTGCTGATCTCCTTACCCACTTGAACCAAACACCCACCTCCCTTGTTATGCTAAGAATTTCCCTTATCAGCTGTCTATATTGCCAAATTCCCAGCTGCCTTAATTGCATCCACCCAATTACCAACTTGGAGTCTCCCTTTATCTCAATCTGCTGTAGCCCCAATTATTTGGCCAGTTTTACACCTTGGTGTAGTGCCAATATTTCCACTCTTAAGGAATCTCCAACTCCTATTGGACCTGAAAACAGAGCCATTATCTTGCCTTCATTATCTCTGGAAACACCTCCTATACCAGATGGGCCTGGATTACCTATAGAGCTTCCATCAAAGTTCAATTTCACCCTTTGTTGTGCCAGTGGGGACCAAACTTCCTGTATCATAGCTTTGGAAGTAGTAGTAGATGCTATAATACCCCAACTTCTATAAATTTCTTCAACTGAGAAATCCTTAAAAAGATCACAGGATTTCAACCAATGGATAACTTTAGTAGTTATTCCTTCCACAACCTCTTCCTTGGATCTACAACAGCCTTTGAAGATCCTATTGTTTCTTTCTTCCCACACTGACCACAATAYAGCAGCTCTAGTGGCTCTCCACATAATCCTTCCACAAACCGTTGGTTGCCTATAAAAAGGTGGATCAAAGAGGTTCACCACACTCGAGGAGGGAGTCCACCTGCAGCCAAAGAGAGAAGAGAACCAAGGCCAAATAAAGAACACAAAGGGACATGAGATTAGTAAAT